CGCCTCCAAGATAAAACAACTCAGTCCTATAATGTACGATTACTACTTGTATGATAGATAATCGGTCTAGAAATACACCCTCTGATGATACAAGACCATTCAAATATGGTATCATCACCACTCGTAGTATCTAGTACAAAGACCCGTCATAATAATTTCTCAAACAAAAAGAAACTCAAATAATTCTCCAAAGAGAAATTAATAATGGTCATTTGACCACTCATAATAATTTCTCCAACAAAGAGAAATTCAAATAATTCTCCAAAGAGATTCCAAAAGATTAAACTTGAAAATTTCCCAACTCAAATGAGGAGAAATTAACATAATTCTCTAAAGAGAATTCAAAAAAATACTCTTTAGAGATAAATTTAGAGATGACATTCACTTGGGTGTCTGTGATTAATTCCTCTGTGTTGGTTGTGTCGCTCTAAGAGATTGTCGACGTGATTAGAACGATTGACACTTTTATGTCGTCGGGCGACGCGCGTGGGTCTGATTTTGTTTATATTTTCTTTTCATTTAATTTTGGAAGGTTATGGTTTTGGGGTGGTTTTTAATCTCCCAACTCCATCAACCTCATATTTTTGATAGATTAGCTTAGAAAACAACACTAGGGATTTGCTTATGGATGATTGGAGGTGGATTTCTCATCGACTAGCGCTGACAAACTAGGAGATTTGTGTTTTATCTCTTCTTCTCTCTATGTATTTATCTTTTGTTGGGTATTGTATGTATATTAACTTTGAACTCATGCATATTTATCGTCCATGGCGTTATATAAAACTTGATTTACAAATATTTATTGATTGTTGTCCTGGATTTTTGCTCTGTGCTCAGGATTTGGGTTGTTATATACATATACTGCTTGAATTCTTATCTAGGATGATATTCTGTTAGTTTCTGGATTCTAGAGATAAATTTAGAGCTGACATTCACTTGGGTGTCTGTGATTAATGCCTCTGTGTTGGTTGTGTCGCTCTGAGAGATTGTCGACGCGATTAAAACGGTTGACACTTTTATGTCATCGGGCGACGCGCGTGGGTCTGATTTTGTTTATATTTTCTTTTTATTTCATTTTGGAAGGTTATAGTTTTGGGGTGGGTTTTAATCTCCCAACTCCATCAACCTCATATTTTTGATAGATTAGCTTAGAAAACAACATCAAGGATTTTCTTATGGATGATTGGAGGTGGATTTCTCATCGACTAGCGCTGACAAACTGGGAGATTTGTGTTTTATCTCTTCTTCTCTCTATGTATTTAAATTTTGTTGGGTATTATATGTATATTAACTTTTAACTCATGTATATTTATCGCCCATGGCGTTATATAAAACTTTATTTACAAATATTTATTGATTGTTGTCCTAGATTTTTGCTTTGTGCTCAGGATTTAGGTTGTTATATACATATATTGCTTGGATTCTTATCTAGGATGATAGTCTGTTAGTTTCTGGATTCTAGAGATAAATTTAGAGCTGACATTCACTTGGGTGTCTGTGATTAATGGCTCTGTGTTGGTTGTGTTAGTTGTGTCGCTCTGAGAGATTGTCGACGCGATTAGAACGGTTGACTTCTGCATTGTTGAGGTGGTTGAGAGATCTCTACCGAGGTGATACAGTCGGCCTCTCAATTTGGGTTAGAAATGACTTATCTTGTGAGTGATACGTGGTGACATTAACGAGTATTGTAGGTTGAGTATAAATCGACGATAGGTTTAAGTTTGTGAAGAGTAGTGTACATTCGTACTGGATAAGTTTGTCTTTCCTTTTCCTTTTTATACATTTATTTTCTGTTGATAACTTTTACCCTTTCCATTCAAACCCCAAACTCATTAACGAATGATATGTCGAACGGTGACTCGATAACCAATCTCCATGGACACGATACGATATAACCTATATCACCCGGTAAAATAATACTTTACTTTTTGCTTACCGCTATATCGCTGCAACAACGGGCCAATAATAATCCGCCCTTATCAGTTTGTGAGAAAAAGCTCGCCCACTAATATGATTGTCGCAAGTTCCTTGGTGGACCAATATGAGGGAAGAAGCGGTATCACTCTGCACTAGACATCTTAGCATGGTGAGACTTTTCCCATCTTATAGACCTTTCCATACATCATGGTGTATTTTGTTGCACATTTTTGGACATTCTTTGCCTCCAGCTCATTTAATGAGAGTTTGTTTGAGATCAGGAAATGTATTAAGTATGCCATGTGACTTCAATAGTATTGCTTTCTTCTATTTTAATATTGGTCGCAACTAGAGTTTTTTTATGGAAGTCCGATTATATCTGGAATGTTTTGTGTTGGCAAGCTTTGGGAGGAGTTATATTCTAGAGTTTTGTTCCCTAGGCACATATGTTTTCTCAAAAGTTTTGAAGGGAGTTATGTGACTTCTTCGCGTGATACTCCCTGATAACTTGATCCACTATCAATTATGAGTCTCTCCTGGCTTGGAAGCTTGAAGCGCCCATTTTTATGGAGAGACCTATGTCGTTGATGAGGGCTCCATACTCAGCTTGGATTTTCTTGGATTTAAACTCAAACCTCAATGATTGCTTTTCCAGGAGGTCATCTGCTCCCTCTAGCACTATTTTTGTGCCACTTCCTTTCATGTTTGAAGTGTCTTCCATAAATAATATCTATATTTGGGGGATTCCAGTAACGCCCCGATTTTATCATATTTATTTTTAATAAATCGATTATGTTATGATGTGCTCTGCGGTGTTATAGTACCTTAGGGAAGGGTAGTGGCTATTAGAATTATAAAAATAGAGGTGGTTATAATATATAGTGCATTATTAGACTTATTATTATTATTAATATAATAATTGGACTATAGTTGGTGATTAAATAATTATACTTTTAATAATGATTTAAATTAGAGGAGTGGTATTGTGGGGATTCTAATTTTGGGGTCCAAGGGTTATAGGTTGAAAAATAAGGGATTAGAGAATCATTTGTTGCAATTAATCGTAGAAGCCAGAGGAAAGGAAAAGAACGCACAAGCTAGGGCAAGGAATTTTTTGGTAGGGAACTAAGAATCGTCAACCAAGGTAAGGGTGAAGTTCTAACTCTATAAGGGAATATATATATATATATATATATATATATATATATATATATATATATATATATATATATATATATATATATATATATATATATATATATATATATATATATATATATATATATATATATATATATATATATATATATATATATATATATATATATATATATATATATATATATATATATATATATATATATATATATATATATATATATATATATATATATATATATATATATATATATATATATATATATATATATATATATATATATGGATTGTGGTGGTTGTATGACTCATAGTTGTATGATTTATGTGATGATCAATTTGGGGTTTTGTGTGTATGTGATAATGTTGATGTTTTATGATGATTTATGATTGAACTTCTATGAAATTGATGAATATTTGTGTTTGGGGAGGAATGGGGATGTTAGGTATTTCTTAGGTTCATTTTGAGAAGATTAAAATTCTAGTTTGATGTCAAAAAATGGGTTTTTGGGGTTAAAACTATTGATTCCCGTAACTGGAAAAATTGCAGGATTTTTCACTGTCACACTGCAGAAATCGATTTCCAGTATTGAGGATATCAATTTCCTGAACTAAAATTGCCAAAAATTCAGCTGCTGGAGTGTGGAAATCAATTTCCAATATCAGGGGAATCGATTTCCTGAAGCTGACAACATTTTTCAAAAACTTGTAAAATTCGTAACTTTTGACTCGGGTGTCTGTTTGATCCGCCGGTCAGACTGTTGAAAAGCTAAAAACATTTTCTACAATATGATAATAATTTTGATAACATTAGATGAATTATTTTTTGGTTGGAGGCTTATGCCTTGAGTGTCAGTGTCTGATGAATTTTGAAGTATACGATGATGATTGAACATAATGATCCTTTGATGATGATTGATCCTTTGTGATCCTTTGTAGATTTTGATATATTTACCACCGAAGAAATTGCCAGGTTGAGTCGCGGACTAGGTTGCTCTCTTTAAGACGTTTCGCAACACTGCTCAAAATTATGCAAAGCAGTCGAATTACCGCGCCGCCTCCAAAATAAAACAATTCAGTTCTATATTGTACGATTACTACTTGTATGATAGATGATCGGTCTAGAAATACACCTTCTAATGATACAAGACCATTCAAATATGGTATCATCACCACTCGTAGTATCTTGTACAAAGACCAGTCATAATAATTTCTCAAACAAAAAGAAACTCAAATAATTCTCCAAAGAGAAATTAATAATGGTCATTTGACCACTCATAATAATTTCTCCAACAAAGAGAAATTCAAATAATTCTCCAAAGAGATTCCAAAAGATTAAACTTGAAAATTTCTCAACTCAAATGAGGAGAAATTAACATAATTCTCTAAAGAGAATTCAAAAAAATACTCAGAAAATTCAACGAGTAGGAAGAAAGGGGAAGAAGATGGCGCTTCGACAATTCGAGAGACGCAGAGTTATGAGAGTGGGGAAGAAAAAACTAATAGAATAATTTTTGGTGTGATTTGAAATAAAACATGTGCACTCCTTATATATTGAAGTAAGATAGTTAATATTTCTCACATGAGCAATGTGAGACTAAATGATTTTTTCAACCAAAAAGATATTCTAACAATGTGGGACTTGAGAAATTTTTAAATTCAATATATTAGAACATGGACATATTCCAACATATCTCAGTGTATTTTGAGAAGCCACGCTAAACTTAGAGAGAGAATATAAGCACAAAATAAAAATTATTAATTTGATCACCAAATTTTTAATAATTTATTTAAGTAAGCAAAAAATAAAAATTATCAATTTATTCACCAAATTTTTAATAATTTATTTAAGTTCTGAATTAATTTTCCTAGATAGAAAACCATTTGAAAAAACTCAGATAAAGAACAATATATTGAGGATTCTCATACTAACCTTTTTCTTTTTTAGTGATACTCTTAGGTATTTCATTTCCATTTTCATCTGCTTTTCTACCTGGACAAATTCCATATTCTTCATATCTCTCTACCTCTTTCTTAGATCGACAAGTAAGTTTAGGTATCATCTTATGAATGTAAAACTACAAAACATCAATTTGATAGACATTAGTTTAACATTCATTTCATTATTTTGATTGAGAAATATCAATAAAATTGAATAGGAACACCAATGTTAAATAAATAAGATACATTCAATCATTATCTTCTTTTATCATGAGAAAAATGTTCACCTAGTTTACATTTTCAAAACATCAAATTGTGAGGATATTAAATGAAGATCTTACAGCATCTTTTCTTCCATCTCTCCTTATTTTATATCGCTTGAGCCATCTTCCAATCCATAAAGGATTAGGAGCTTTTTGTTTCTTCGTACGTGAAGTGGATTGTTTCGATGGTCTCCCTCTCTTTCGTAATGTTGAGATTTGTGGTTCTTCAGTCTTCTCTTCAATTAGGACCTGGACGTCTGAGTTCAAAATCTTAGCCATTACAATATGATAAACTGAGTATGTATAGGCTTGTAACTAGGTTTTCGATTTAAAATTTTCTTACTTTCAAACAAACACAAAGACATTATAATTGATTTTGAGAGAAAGAGGAGAAACACTATAGAACATCTAGATAAAGTTATTTTTACTATTTTAAATGACCAAAATACCTTTTTTTTTTAAATATAAAACACTTTTTAGTCAATATTTTTTGTTTTCTACTTAAAACTTATCTAATTTTAATAAATTGTATTTATTGAATCTAGATTTTTTTCTCTATATTTTTATATCTAAAGTTGACTATTATGGTCGTTTCTGCTAAAGTTGACCAGTATGGTGGTTTCCGCTCAAGAAATTAGTATGTACAATTGTACGCAGACAATAATCAATTTCTATTGGAAAATCTAGTTTTTTTTATACCTTTTCTCTAAATGGTAAAAAATTATAAATTGTATATCATTTATAGGAAATAGTATGTTTTAAATTATAAAGAAAATATTAAAAAAATAAGACAAATGTTTTTAACAATAATTGGAATAAATATCTCATAAATATTATTTTTATAAACAAAATAAATTATTTATAAAAATTAAATATTTTTTAATGAATAAATATCTCATAAATATAATTTTTTAGAACAACAACCACTCATGGATACCACTATAAAATTTTTAAATCTTGCAGCATGCAAAGAAATTTTAGGATCTTGAAAACGAACAAATTTCTTAACATCTGAATTGTGTGAAAAGTATGGATGATGCAGGAAAGAATAATATCTTTCATTTGCGAGCTACACCTCTAAGTGATGAAAGAAATTATAGACTTTGTAGATGGAAATTCAATGTGAACGGACACAACCATACAAAAATATGTATGGACACAACCATATATCCCCGAGTTTTGAGTTTTCATTTGTATGAATTTTTTTATGCATAAGCCTCGAAAACATAAAATAATGTGATACATGTATACAAGGCCTCCAAATCTTGGTGGACCAGTCAACTGACAAGGTAGGAGGATGCAAAAATTGAAAAGCTTGCTTAATGAGACCAGACAATCTTGTTTATGAGAGGATAAACTAGAAGAGTAATAGAAGGCCGATGAGAGGTAACCTCTGTACTCCTTAACACATCAACAAGTATATCAAGTCTACCATATGAAATGATGGAATAGAGCTTGTCTTGGAGAAGTGAGTGTAGAGACCAAGGGAGCGCTAATAAATTCAACAAAGGATTACCAAGCTAATTATTCTTCCAAAAATTAATATGTTCCCTCGTGCCAATGATCCGGCCCGAATTAGAAATGACACATTCCATGTGATCTCTAATAACCTACCACACTTAAGACTGGAAGTAATGATACCTAGGCCGACCTTAAGAAAAATATCGAAGCTTGAACATATACTGCATTGAATTCTTATCTAGAAAGATAGTTTGTTAGTTTCTGGATTCTAGAGATATATTTAGAGATGACATTCACTTGAGTGTCTTTGATTAATGCCTTTGTGTTGGTTGTGTCACTCTAAGAGATCGTCGACGCGATTAGTACGGTTGACTTCTGTGTTGTTGAGGTGGTTGAGAGATCGCTACCAAGGTGATACAGTCGGCCTCTCAATTTGGGTTAGAAATGACTTAGGTTGTGAGTGATATGTGGTGATATTGGCGAGTATTGCAGGTTTAGTATAACTGGATGATAGGTTTAAGTTTGTGAAGAGTAGTGTACATTCGTACCAGATAAGTCTGTCTTTCCTTTTCCTTTTTATACATTTAATTTTTGTTGATAACTTTTACCCTTCCGATTCAAACCCCAAACTCATTAATGAATGATTTATCGAACGACGAATTGATAACTAATCTCTGTGTACACGATATGATATGACCTATATCACCCGGTAAATTAACACTTTACTTTTTTCTTGCCACTGTAACAAAATGGTGCCGTTGTCGGAGATTGGTGTTTATTGGATCGTGTTGTGATAGTTTCTTTGTTTTTGAGTTTTGTAGATATCGTATATATTGTCTATTTTCACTTGTTTATATTGATACTTGTATATGTTTACTATACTTGTGAATTTGTTATATCATTGTTTTCTTCCTTTCATGTTTGCTTATGTGTTGGTTAGGAATAACCAGGTGGAAACAACTTGGAGGAACGTTTGTAAATAACAGGCGTCGAGCTTACGACGTAAAACAAGCAAGTTTTATTATTTTTCATTTTGTTAGTTTGGGTAGTATGTTGATTGTTGTTTAAACAAATTGAAATTGGATCAGTTTTAAAATTATCAAATCTTCACTTTTCAAACCGTTTATTCACTTTCTTTCATTTTTCCGAAAGCTTGCTTTTATTAGCTTGAGGAAATGTGTATGTGTATAATTTTGTTTTTCTAAATTCTTTTGTTGTTGTTTGGACTCAATTTTGGTCCGGTAACTTGAAGAATTTTGAGGTAATTTTCTGATTTTGAGTGTTTCAACTTGCGGATGTATGGTAATTATAGTTTTGTAGTTGGTACACGCCAGGTACTCGTTTATTGCTTTTATAGCATAACATGTTTAGAAAACTTTTCATTTGTATAATTACCATGCCATTCATTCTTTTTGCATTACTTGTTCATGATTTGAATCACTTGGTTCCATTTTTACCCCCAAATGTGAGAAAGCTTTCCATTGTTCATATATTTTGGAGGCCATAATTCTTGTTTTAACTGGATTTTATTATGTTTAATCTTTTGTTTGTGTTGATTGTATGAATGCATGAAAGTTATCAAGTCATTTTGTTTAATTTTGAACACAACAACCTAACCAAATAGTTAATTCACCTTGTGAGTGTGTGATCATTTGCTAGCCCCTTTGAGCTTTTTGTCAATGTCCATGTTGTTTTTGCTAAATGCTTATCTATGAGTGTTTAGTTCATCTTTTTATATGGATGTTGATTCTTTTGTTTTCTTTAACCCTCAACCATTGTTGTAGGTTTAAAATTTTACCTTGCCTTAGAAAGTAGGGAGTATTCACTCATTGATGTTGGTTGAATTTAAGTTGGGGAGAGCAATATTTTCTCATTTATATGTTGGTTTCTATGAGGTTGAGAAAAAGCAAAAAGAGTTTTGTATTTATTTTGTAGGTATTTAAGCATTGATGGAGCAAGAAGAATAAAAGATCCAAGATGCATTTTTGGATCAATAAAGTAACAAGGAAAAATAAGAAGCCATTTGAAGTTGTGCAAAGAATGAAATAAAAGTTGATGGACTGGTGTGCATCGTCAGGCGATGGTCGGGCGAGATGCATCGTGTATGCATCGCCAGGCGACGAGGGAGTGATGGGTTGGAGTAAATCATCTTCCTTGCTTCGCTGCTATGTTGCTGGGAGAGAAATAGGGATGTCGTCGAGCGAGGCTTTTCTGTCGCGAGGGAGATGGAATATATTTGTGGCCAGTTGCGTACATGGCGCAACCTGGGCCTTGTATTTAAGAACTGTCACAGGGAGACACTTTTATGTCGTCGGGCGACGCGCGTGGGTCTGATTTTGTTTATATTTTCTTTTCATTTCATTTTGGAAGGTTATGGTTTTGGGGTGGTTTTTAATCTCCCAACTCCATCAACCTCATATTTTTGATAGATTAGCTTAGAAAATAACACTAGGGCTTTGCTTATGGATGATTGGAGGTGGATTTCTCATCGACTAGCGCTGACAAACTGGAAGATTTGTGTTTTATCTCTTCTTCTCTCTATGTATTTATATTTTTTTGGGTATTGTATGTATATTAACTTTGAACTCATGTATATTTATCGCCCATGGCATTATATAAAACTTGATTTACAAATATTTATTGATTGTTGTCCTGGATTTTTGCTCTGTGCTCAGGATTTGGGTTGTTATATACATATACTGCTTGAATTCTTATCTAGGATTATAGTCTGTTAGTTTCTGGATTCTAGAGATAAATTTAGAGCTGACATTCACTTGGGTGTCTGTGATTAATTCCTCTGTGTTGGTTATGTCGCTCTGAGAGATTGTCGACGTGATTAGAACGGTTGACACTTTTATGTCGTCGGGCGACGCGCGTGGGTCTGATTTTGTTTATATTTTCTTTTCATTTCATTTTGGAAGGTTATGGTTTTGGGGTGGTTTTTAATCTCCCAACTCCATCAACCTCATATTTTTGATATATTAGCTTAGAAAACAACACTAGGGCTTTGCTTATGGATGATTGGAGGTGGATTTCTCATCGACTAGCGCTGACAAACTAGGAGATTTGTGTTTTATCTCTTCTTCTCTCTATGTATTTATCTTTTGTTGGATATTGTATGTATATTAACTTTGAACTCATGTATATTTATCGCCCATGGCGTTATATAAAACTTGATTTACAAATATTTATTGATTGTTGTCCTGGATTTTTGCTCTGTGCTCAGGATTTGGGTTGTTATATACATATACTGCTTGAATTCTTATCTAGGATGATAGTCTGTTAGTTTCTGGATTCTAGAGATAAATTTAGAGCTGACATTCACTTGGGTGTCTGTTATTAATGCCTCTGTGTTGGTTGTGTCGCTCTGAGAGATTATCGACGCGATTAGAACGGTTGACACTTTTATGTCATCAGGCGACGCGCGTGGGTCTGATTTTGTTTATATTTTCTTTTCATTTCATTTTGGAAGGTTATCGTTTTGGGGTGGTTTTTAATCTCCCAACTCCATCAACCTCATATTTTTGATAGATTAGCTTAGAAAACAACATTAGGGATTTTCTTATGGATGATTGGAGGTGGATTTCTCATTGACTAGCGCTGACAAACTGGGAGATTTGTGTTTTATCTCTTCTTCTCTCTATGTATTTATCTTTTGTTGGGTATTATATGTATATTAACTTTTAACTCATGTATATTTATCGCCCATGGCGTTATATAAAACTTTATTTACAAATATTTGTTGATTGTTGTCCTAGATTTTTGCTCTGTGTTCAGGATTTGGGTTGTTATATACATATACCGCTTGGATTCTTATCGAGGATGATAGTCTGTTAGTTTATGGATTCTAGAGATAAATTTAGAGCTGACATTCACTTGGGTGTCTGTGATTAATGCCTCTGTG